ACCTCCGTTGATAGGTTGCAACGACATTGTGGATCATGGGATGTGTAGTTTCTCGGCACCGGAGAATGAAAACAGTTTGACTGCCCTGGATTGGTGCTAAGGGATCCTGGGAGTTGTAGTTTCCTTGAGATGTTTACCTTTTTCTACCCTGGGGAACGAATGCCATTTGGTCCTGCTTTGACTGCTGGCACTCCAGACGATGGGACCGTGGGAGTTGTAGTTTCCCTGGGATGTTTACCCTTCTCTACCCTGGGGAATGGATGCCTTTTGGTCCTGCTGGTGGTGCTGGCACCCTGGGAGTTGTAGTTTGCGAGCATGTCTCCCCTTCTCTCCGCCTGGGAAGGAATGCCGTTTGGCGCTGTGTTGGTCCCTGAGGCTGAGAGAGTGTGACCGCCGCCCCCCCGCCCCCCCCCCGCGCCCGCCTTGCCTGGCTCTCCCCCTCCCTGCAAGGATGCGGCTGACGGTCGCCATGGCAACGGGATGCAGCTGCTGCTGCTGCTTTGAAGCCGCTTAGTGATGCTTGCAGCGGTTGCCAGGTGGCCGATGACGGGTGCCGCTAACGAGGAGCGGGTGGCAGGGCTAACGAGGAACGTGAGGAAGCCGTTATCAACAAGGCTAGTGCATTCCCCCCCCCCCAAAGGGGGAAAAAAACCCTACAGCTCCCAGGATTCCCTCAATTAAGCATCCAGTGCAAACTCACCCAATTAAGAACGGCCATGGCTCAATGCTATGGAAGCCTGGGAGTTGTAGTTTGCTGCCCTTGTCAGCATTCACCCTAGAGACCTGGTTAAACTACATCTCCCATGAGCATTGAGCCAAAGGGGTAGAAGTGGCGCCAAACGGCATTGGTTCATTCCACAGTGAAAATAGATGCGCCCAGAGAAAGGTCGATATCTCACCAAACTATAACTCCCAGGAGGCCAAAGCAGGGAGCCATGGCCATTCACGTGGTCGATGCAAAGAGGGCAAACCGGGTAAACAATGACTTCCAGGGTCCATTGCTCTCAGTCACCTAAGGAGTACAAACCGAGAGAACTATAACTCCCATGATCCCATTGCAGGGCCTCATGGTGCTTCACCCAAAGAATGCAAACTGGGCAAACTATAACTCCCAGGGTCCCACAGCAGGGATATAATGACAAGTCACCTAAAAAGTGCAGACCTGGCAAACTATAACTCCCAGGGCCCCATAGCAGAGGCATCATACCAATTTACCCGAAGAGTGCACAGTTGGCAAACTACAACTCCCAAGGTCCCATAAGAGGGACCTCATGGCAGGTAACCTAAAGAGTGCAGCCTGGGCAAACTATAACTCCCAGGGTCCCACAGCAGGGATGTTATGGCAGTTCATTGAAAGAGTGCAAACCGGGCAAACTATAACTCCCAGGATCCTATAGAAAGGGCATCGTGGCCTGTCACCCAAAGAGTGCAAACTGGGCAAACTACAACTCCCAGGGTCCCATAGCAAGGACATTATGGCAGGTCAACTAAAAAGTGCACACTGGGCAAACTACAACTCCCACGATCCCATTGCAAGACCTCATAGCAGGTCACCTAAAGAGTGCAAACCAGGCAAACTATATCTCTCAAGGTCCCATAGAAAGAGCGTCATGCCCGGTCACTCAAAGAGTGCAAACTGGGCAAACTACAACTCCCAGGGTCCCATAGCAAGGACATTATGGCAGGTCAACTAAAGAGTGCAGACCAGGCAACCTATAACTCCCACAATCCCATTACAGGGCCTCATGGCAGGTCACCTAAAGAGTGCAAACCAGGCAAACTATATCTCTCAAGGTCCATAGAAAGGGTGTCATGGCTGGTCACCCAAAGTGTCCAACCTGGGCAAACTACAACTCCCAAGGTCCATTTCTCTCTCTCTCTCTCTCCCGGGCGGCAGCTCTTTGTGATTGACAACGGGGCGGACGACTGGCGCATCGCCATGACCTCGGAGCGCCTGCTGTACATCGGGCTGGAGCTGCTGGTGTGCGCGGTGCACCCGGTGCCGGGGGAGTACCGCTTCTTCTGGACGGCGCGGCTGGCCTTCTCGTACGCGCCCTCGCAGGCGGAGGCCGACGTGGACATCATCCTCTCCATCCCCATGTTCCTGCGCCTCTACCTGATCGCCCGCGTGATGCTCCTCCACAGCAAGCTCTTCACCGACGCCTCCTCGCGCAGCATCGGCGCCCTCAACAAGATCAACTTCAACACACGCTTCGTCATGAAGACCCTCATGACCATCTGCCCCGGCACCGTCCTCCTCGTCTTCAGCATCTCCCTCTGGATCATCGCCGCCTGGACGGTGCGTGTCTGCGAGAGGTGAGCCCCCCATGGGTAGACAGGTGGGCCCATGCGCATGGGCACGGGCTAACTTGAGTCGTCCCTCCCTCCAGGTGCTTTGGACTCCAACTCCCACCGTTCCTAACAGCGGGAACCCTGGAACCAAGGCCGCGGGTACGGAGGGCCTGAGACCACAGATACGGAGGACCCTGGAACCAAGGCCGCAGATACAGAGGGCCCAAATGGGCCCTCCGTATCCGCGGCCTTGGTTCCAGGGTTCCCGCTGTTAGTCGTCCCTCCCTCCAGGTGCTTTGGACTCCAACTCCCAGATTCCACCCAGTTGCATCAACAGCGGGAACCCTGGAACCAAGGCCGCGGATACGGAGGGCCCATTTGGGCCCTCCGTATCCGCGGCCTTGGTTCCAGGGTCCTCCGTATCTGTGGTCTCAGGCCCTCCGTATCCGTGACCTTGGTTCCAGGGTCTTCCGTATCCGCGGTCTCAGGCCCTCCGTATCCACAACCTTGGTTCCAGGGTCTTCCGTATCCGCGGTCTCAGGCCCTCAATATCCACGACCTTGGTTCCAGGGTCCTCCGTATCCACGGTCTCAGGCCCTCCGTATCCACGACCTTTGTTCCAAGGTCCTCCGTATCCATGGTCTCAGGCCCTCCGTATCCACGACCTTGGTTGCAGGGTCCCCGCTCCAGTCGCACTCTGTAACACAATGGGTCATCAGTGTCATTTCCTAATTGGTTGTATCGTCAAGAAAGAACCCTGGTCTGTTTGAAGCTAAGTTGCAATTAGCAACCTTGAATAGCATCGCGTAACTGTGCAGTTGTAAAGTCAGTTAGTGAGGATCTCTGCATAGAGGTAGCCTGACCTCTGTTGCCTGGAGGCACCCTCTGAATGGCGTCCAGGGTGAGAGGAATAGCCCTTGTCCGTTCGAGGCAAATGTAAATATTGCAATTTGTGAGTTTGATTAACATGGAGTAGCTTTGCAGTTGCAAAGTCAATCAGTGAGCGTGTCTGCATAAAGGTAGCCTGGCCTCTGTTGCCTGGAGGCATCCTCTCTGGAATGATACTCAAGGTGGGAGAAAGACCCCCCCCCCTTGTCTGTTTGAAGCAAGTGTGAATGTATGTATGTATATTTACACATATATATATATACACACACTCCACTTGCCTCATTTCCAACAGAACCTCTGAAGATGTCATTAGGTGCAGGCAAAATGTCAGGAGAGGATGCTGCTGGAACGTATTGGCCGGACCCAGAGATTTGGGTCATGAAATTCCTTTGGCAGGGAGTGTGTCTCTGTTCAGTGTGTCCTTGCCTTCCTCTTTCCAAAAAGCCATCAAGCCTTGGCCTGGAAAGTTGGCTCTCCAAGTTGGCTGCGTCCGCCCGGACTCAGGTGGATCCTGTTTGCTCTTGGAAGGAAACGGGCGGGGGATCCCTGGCCAGGCCGATCCCGAGGCCGTCCCCACCCTCCGCTCTTCCGCCTTTCCCTCTGAGAACCCTTTCCTGTATGATGCGGTGAATCCACTCTCAGCCTCATTCTTGCCACATCCCAGTGTTCCTTTCTCTCTCCATTGATGTGGAATTTACATTACCTCGCCCACTACCTCTCCCTTAACCCTTTCCTATATGATACAGTGAATTCACCCTCGTCTTCATTCTCGCCACATCCCAGTGTTCCTTTCTCTCTCCATTGGTGTGGAATTTGCATGACGCCACCGACTGCCTCTCCCTTAACCCTTTCCTGTACGATGTGGTGAATCCACTCTCGGGTTCATTCTTGATACATCCCAGTGTTCCCTCTCTTCATTAGTGTGGAATTTGCATGACCTTGTCCACTGCCTCTCCCTTAACCCTTTCACATTTGATGTGGTGAATCAGCTCTTGGCCTCATTCTCACCACATCCCAGTATTCCTTTCTCTCTCCATTGGTGTGGAATTTGCATGATGCCACCTCCCTTAACCCTTTCCTATATGATGAATTCACTCTCGTCTTCATTCTCGCCACATCCCAGTGTTCCTTTCTCTCTCCATTGGTGTGGAATTTGCATGATGCCACTTACTGCCTCTCTCTTAACCCTTTCCTGTATGATGTGGTGAATCTACTCTTTGCTTCATTCTGATGCGGTGAATTCACCCTCGTCTTCATTCCCGCCACATCCCAGTGTTCCTTTCTCTCTCCATTGCTGTGGAATTTGCATGACCCCGCCCTCATTATAATAAAAAAACATAGTTTTTTGTGGAACAGTGGGTATAAGTAAATATTTATTATTGTTGTTGTTGTTGCTGTTGTTGTTCCAACATAGTTTTTTTTTGGGGGGGGGGACAGTGGGATATATAAATAAATATTTGTTGTTGTTGTTGTTGTTGTTGTTCCCACCAACACAACATCATTTTTTGCCCTTTACTCCCCGTGTTGTGAGGATGGAACCAATGAGGGAATGACACTGACCACACATGGTGTGACATGGTGTTGTTAGGGAGCGAAAGGGGCGCCAAACGGCACCCGTTCCCCAGTGCGGACGCCCCTTTGGGAGGGAGGCCCAGCTTGACCAATGTGTCCCCCTCCGTAGGTACCACGACCAGCAGGACGTGACCAGCAACTTCCTGGGCGCCATGTGGCTGATCTCCATCACCTTCCTCTCCATCGGCTACGGGGACATGGTGCCCAACACCTACTGCGGGAAGGGCGTCTGCCTCCTCACCGGCATCATGGTAAGAAGCAGGGGCACCGCAGCAGGGGTCAGCGGTCAGCGGTCAGCGGACACGGACTCAGCCACAGCCCCCTCCGTGGGAAAACAGGTGGCCTTGCAAACACAAGTTGGCCTTGCAAACACAAGAGGGTTGTGCAACCGCCCCCCCCCCAAAGGCCTCCCAGCTGTTCCCTGGGCTTTGGAGGGTCCAGCCGGGATGCGTTCTGGCCGCCCACTCTCGTCCACTCCATTAACCCCGTGGCCTCTGGAGGGACATCCTTGGGTTGTTTACCTCCTCCGCTGGACATCTCCAGAGGAAACACAGATGTTGTTGGAATGTTGCAACTGGGAGAGAGACACCCTTTCCCATCACTCGGAGGGATATGATCATTATTAATTATTATTATTAATAATTATTAATATTATTAATAATATTATTAATTATTATTAATATTACTAATAATATTAAATATTATTATTAATAATATTTATTGTTATTATTAATATTACTAATAATATTAATTATTATTAATACTATTACTAATAATATTATTGTCATTTCTATTGATATGTTATGTCATCAATATAATGTTATTAATAATATATTATTTATAATGATATAATATATTGATATGGCAATACTAATATATTAATAATAATAATAATAATAATACAGGGTTAGTCAAAATGAATAGGCCAATAATGAATAATGAATAATGAATATTGGCCTATTCATTTTGACTAACCCTGTATATAAAGTAATTTCTATTGATATACTATGTCATCAATATAATAATATATTAATAATATATTATTTGTAATGATATAATATATTGATATGTTAATAGCAATATATTAATAATATTAAATAAAATATTGTCATTTCTATTGATATGTCATCAATTTAATAATATATCATTAGTAATATATCATTTATAATGATATAACATATTGATATGTTAGTACTATTATATTAATAATAAATAATATATTGTCATTTCTATTGATATATTATGTCATCAATATCATAATATCATTAGTAATATATTATTAATTATACATTACATTAATATTTTAATTATTCTCACCACATTTATTATATTAATATACGGTATGATATTATGAATAAGTACACGTTATTAAGAATAATATAATATATTGCTAACAATATATTATTAATATGGCCTTCTTGTGACATATCATTTCCATTATTTATTTATTTGGGTTGTTGTAGGTTTTCTGGGCTATCTGGCCATGTTCTAGTAGCATTCTCTCCTGACATTTTGCCCACACCCAAGACGACCTGTGATGGGTGCCCCCTTTTAACCTCCCCGTTTCCCTTGCGCAGGGGGCCGGCTGCACCGCGCTGGTGGTGGCCGTCGTGGCCAGGAAACTAGAACTCACCAAAGCCGAGAAGCACGTGCACAACTTCATGATGGACACGCAGCTCACCAAGCGGGTAAGCCAGAGAACGGGATGTCTAGTTCTTTCTCGGTTCTTTGCACCTGCAAACCCGGGATGTCTAGTTCCTTGCTGGGGCCAGTACTACAAGTTCCAGCAGTGTCACCTAGCATTGCCCCTTGCAAGGAGCGCTGGGAGGCGCAGTCCAAGAGCATTGGGTCACATGGCATCAGAGCCCCTTGGAATTTGAAGGGACCCCCAAAGGCCATCTAGTCTGACTCTGTAGCCCACATTATCTCTCCCACAGGAGACTCAAGACGGCTATTATTATTATTATTATTATTATTATTACTATTATTATTACTATTATTATTATTATTATTACTATTATTATTATTATTATTAATATTATTATTATTATTACTATTATTATTATTATTATTATTATTATTATTATTATTATACCCTGCTTTATTTCTCTTTCAGGAGACGCAAAGCAGCTAATCATAATATAACAACAACAACAATAATAATACAATAATAATAAATAATAATACAATAAATAATAATAATAATAAATATATTATTGTATTAATTTTTTTTATTTATACCCTGCTTTATTTCTCTGGCAGGAGACTCAAAGCATCTAATCATAATATAATAATAACAACAACAATACAATAATAATAAATAATAATACAATAAATAATAATAATATATTATTTTTTTATTATTTTTATTTATACCCTGCTTTATTTCAGAGCGCCTTAGGATTTGAAGGGATCCCCAAAGGTCATCTAGTCTGACCCTATACTCTGCTTTATCTCTTCCACAGGAGATTCAAGGCAGCTATTATTATTATATTTATATTTATACCCTACTTTATTTCTCTGGCAGGAGACTCAAAGCAGCTAATCATAATATAATAATAATGTAATAATAAAAATAATATTATAATATATTATTATATTTATTTATATATTTATACCCAGTTTTATCTCTCCCTTAAGAGACTCAAAGCTTCTAATAATAATAATAATAATAATAATAATAAGACTCAAAGCAGCTATTATTATTATTATTATTATTATTATTAATATCTTTATTTGTCCCCCGCTAGCATCTCCCAAAGGACTCGATGCGGCTTACGAAGGCCAAGGCCTCAACAAAACAACAACAGACAATAATGATGCAAGCAAATTAAAAACATAAACAATAACACAACAAAACATGACACTATTACACATTAAAAACCAGGGGCCAGGCCAGTGATGGGTACAGGTTAAAAAGTACTGGGTGTGAGAGGTGACGTGTTGGGATTCTGGGCAAGTGCAGAGTGCAGAGAGTCTTAAGCTCTAGGAAAGTGCTTCTGGGACACAGTGCTGCTGGGGGTTATCCTATCCTGGGAAGGCACATCCAAATAGCCAAGTCTTCAAGTTCTTCCTAAAGACTGCCAGCGTGGGTGCTAGTCTAATGTCTTTGGGGAGGGTGTTCCAAAGTCGGGGGCCACCACAGAGAAGGCCCTGTCCCTTGTCCCCACCAAACGCGCCTGTGATGCAGGTGGGATCGCGAGCAGGGCCTCTCCGGGTGAACGAAGTGAGCGCGTGGGTTCGTAGACGGAGATGCGGTCACGCAGGTAGGATGGTCCCAAACCGTTCAGGGCTTTGTAGGTCAGCACCTGCACCTTGAATTGGGCTCGGAAAAGAAACGGCAGCCAGTGGAGCTCCTTGAACAGGAGGGTTGACCTCTCCCTGTAATGAGCCCCAGTTAACATCCTGGCCGCTGTCTGTTGAACCAGTTGGAATTTCCAAGCCGTTTTCAAGGGCAGCCCCACGTAGAGCGCATTGCAGTAGTCCAATCAAGAGGTGACCAAGGCATGGACCACCCCATTATTAATTATATTAATAATATATTATTATAAATATAATAATAATTTATTTATTCATATATTTATACCCAGCTTTATCTCTCCCTCAGGAGACCCAAAGCTTCTAATAATAATAATAATAATAATAATAATAATAATAATAATAATAATAATAATAATTAATAATAATAATAATAATAATACTCAAAGCAGCTAATCTTAATATTATAATAATAAAAAATAATATAATAATATATTATTATTATTATATTTATATATATATATTATACCCNCGTTTGATACCACCAGAAAACCGAGTAATACTCCCAATTATCGCCGTGAACGGGGAGACATCCCGCACGCAACCTGATTAGAAGGAAAGGAAGGGAGAATGGAAGGAAGGAGAGTGGGAGAAAGAGGGAGTCCCCAGCAGAGAGAGCGGGAGGCCTGCTAACGGTCTGCCTTCTCCCCTTCCCTAGGATCAGTTCAGCCTGGCAACGTGGGAAGCGTAAGCCAGCATTGTGAGGACAACCAACATGAGGATCCCCAGCAGCTTGACACGCATAGCGCCGGGAGTTCCCCAGAAGTCATCCTGGAGATGGAAAGGTAGGATGCAAGGCTGGGCCAGCTCGAGTGGGCCAGGAGTGTGCAACCAGGCAGGTTTGGAGGGCACATTGGAGCAGCTCCAAAACTCATTCTTTACTTTCCAATACAGTTGACGATCTGAAAGGTTTCCCAGGTACAGAAAGATCAAAAAAGTTCAATAAACACCTTGGGTGTGGGTTTTGTTTGTTTGTGTAGTGCGAAAAGGGAAGGGTAGGTTGTTGTTGAACAACAAGAAAGTGCTGCCGTTGCCGCCGCTCTTGGAAACATAGCCATCAATCTAAATTTTTGATAGAAGCCAATGTTAAGTTGCGTGCTGGGCCTGTAAAGAATTGTCTTTAAGTCAGGATGTGCAAATTGAGCCCAGCAGGAAGCCAGGGGCCCCTGAAGAGAAGCTCTCAGGGATTTTCCACCACAAATGGTCTTTAGATGGCTTGTGAAGTCTAACAAAGTCCTTTATTAATGAACAATCAAACAGAAACTTCTCTTGTCTTCAGAAAGTTAAACAAATGATTCCAGGCTTTTATGCAACTGGTGGCTTCCTAATTTTGTCCACGAAGGACAAGCAATTGTCTCCAATAACGAATACTTTACTTTAAAGGAAAATCCCCTTTTTAACTTCTCCCAAGCTGACTGTAATCTAATCCTTACTGATGTGGGCTCTGCTACCGGGTCGAACTTTGTCTCGAACACCAAGTAGACCTACCAGTAAGGATAGTAGATTCTCCAGCTGGAGTTCTTTGGTCTTCCAAAACTGTTTACCCTCCGAAATTCATGTCAGGGGAAAACCTTGACCTTGACCTAACAACAACAACAACAATATAATAATAATAATAATTAATAATAATAATAATAATAATAATAATATATTATTATTATTATTATTATTATTATTATTATTATTATTATTATATTTCTTCCCCACCTCCTCCTGGCTTGAATCCCACTGCTGTTGAAGTTCATGTTCAGCTTCTGATCAGCCATCATCCCAAGGTTCTTCTTTCCACATGTTGAGCTGCTGACTGAGCCAAGATTCCCTTTTCCTAGAGCTGTGCCTTTGGTTCTTTTGACCTCAAAGTCAAATTTCGCCTTTGTCCCTGTTGGCTTTCATTTGGATGATGGCGGCCTAGTTTCCTAGGTCCTGGGGTTGCCACCCTTTTCCCTTTCTCGTCCTCAGCCCGGTGCTCCAGGATGCGGAGATGACTCCGGAGAGTTGTGCTTCCAGCCAAGATACAGAGGAGGAAGCGGAGGAGTATGAGGAGGAGGAAGAAGCGGAGGAGCAAGGGGAGGAGGAGCAGGAGGAGCAGGAGGAGCAGGAGGAAGAAGAAGCAGCAGCAGGAGATTCAGGTGCACAGCTAGGGGATATTTTGATTCATTCATTTATCG